TTTTGGTCGTTAGATCAAAAGTTTCACATTTTTCTTGCATTTCACTATATTACTATTGTAAAATATAGGAATAATCTTTCCATTTTTTATTTAAACCGATTAAGATCAATAATTATATGCATGAGTTTTTAAAATTATATGAAATGAATTTTTAAAATCATATGAAATGAGCTTTTGAAATTATGAATTGCATGAGTTAGCAATATACTTCATTTTATTTGTTTATTATAGTATCATACTCTTATGGATTGGAATATCGGTTACTTCTTCATAACAGATTTGAGGCCTCTAGGTTAGCCCAGTCTTAATTGTGAATGATGCATAAATTACCAAAGTATTGTCACCAACTCACTATCGATAATGGTGCTCTTTCAAGGCATCAATCTGATCTTTTTTTATGCATAATTATGTTGGTTATTAATAATTCTTTTTTTAAATAAAATTTTGATCTATTTACATGTTTATAACAATGGGTTGCTAAATTTGAGAATATTGCAGGATATACACAGGAAAACAAAATAACCGATCATTGTTTCAACAAGTTGCAAATGATTAATAGTTTGATAAGAAGAACATCGTTATAGAATTTTTTTCAGTGTATACTTCGTGATATGTAATTAAAAAATAATGGCCTTTTTTGATAATTATTTGGCAGGATTTTACTCCTTTGTGATCTCATATGTTAAAGTTCTAACGAGTTTTATTCCAAAGAGGTGGTTTTAAGCTCTCACAGGTTTGAGTTCTTACTGGTTTGATTTTTTAGTCATTGCATTTCTTTCTTGCTGTTCCAGTGAGTTTGCTATAGATTTTTGATTTATTTTTCTTGAAAATATGATTTTTATACAAGTTGAGATGTTGATGTTGATTTGCAGATATATCTAGATTCTGGTGAAGGCTATAAATCGCATAGGATTGCTTCCTATTATGGTTCTTATTGTGGTTGAACAAAGTTCGTTACTGTTTCGGGATATCCACCATGCTACTGATAAATCATCTTGGTTGGAGTTGCATACCGCCTCTTCTGATTAATTTTGTGGTGTGATGCCTCAAATGTTATTGGGTTTTGTTTCTTATTCTAGCAAAGTTCCTTGCCATTTATGTTTCTTACAAATTACTACAAAGAAATCATGTAGAATGGAGTTTGTTTGCTGCTTCTTTGGCAGCAAAATATGATTTGTTATTTGTTGTATCTATGTCTAAAGTTGGAAATTTTCTTTATTTTTTGGTTAGTTTGTTAGATATATAAAAATATGGAGTAAGAATCGTGGTCATTTGCTTTTTTATTTGAAAATGTTAATTATATACAATAGGTTACTCATATTTTTCTTAGTGGTTCTCCCTCGGTTCAACAATTACATATTGGTATTGACATCTTAAATATATATTGTTATTTTAGTAGATATCATGCCGGGTAACAATATAATAAACAACATCTCCAAATCATTATGTTGAATAACAATATAATAACTTCCTATTTTAAACCAATTTTGCATTTGGTTATTATGTTTTCATAGAACATTACCTACTTTACAATTAACAAGTATGATTACCACACAATTACCAAATATAATTAATATTTGAATAAAAATGTTAAAGGTTGTATGATACAATTGGTTTTTTTAATATTTTGATAATTAACAACGTGCAAATAAATTTCTAGACATGTGTTCAATTCCGAAACCGCCCTCGAACCGAAATAATTGATAACCGAAAGTGATGGATTTGGAGAATCAGTATACCCCTACCCGGTTCTAATTACTAACCGAAAAATAACCGAAATTAAAAAATAATAGATTTGGGAGAACTAAGAACCACACCAAATAAAAGGTTTCGGTTTCGATTCCTATTAGATTTTTTGGTATAAAAGCTCATTTGGAGACACGTATATTAAGGAATTATACACTAATGAAACACTTTCCCTACAACTACTAACGTCAAAATTGGATTCTATTGTCTTCTACATGTACTTTCTTTTGGACATAATATTTTTGTAAACGAAACATATCGCCGAAAGAAATTATGCACCCCCCGCAGCTTTGCGCGGGTCCACCACTAGTAATATATATATAAATATATAGTATATATTATATATATATATAGGCTTAGGTTATTCTATTCAAATTAATTATTGTGTTACTGTATGCATAAATGTGGGCTAATCAATTTTACTTATTTTAAGAAAGTGATTAATATATATTATTTAATTAAATATAATTGAAAAATATCATCTAATATAATTACTAGGGTATTTAGTCATTAATATGATTTAATAAAGGACAATTGCATATTTTAAGAGATCATAGATTCTATTAATTTTAAAAATCCGAGTTTACGAATTATAATTCTTTCTATTCGGACATTCTGACAGAATATGTTTATGAGTATAGTCAAAAAATAAAAATATTCTTGAACCATAAATAATAAAAATATTCTTGAACCTATTTCTTGATCATGACTTTAAAAACTTCTTGTAGAATAACAAATTCTTGAACAAACAACTGAAGAAAAAAAATACATTATTTCTTATAGAATACGGGTAACAATTGTTAAGAATTACATTTATTGTTAAAGAATAAAACTAAAAAAACTTCCAAAACGGGAAAGAAAACATCAAAATCTAACAACGACACTAATACATTCTAAAATAATAATTTGCTCAGAATCACTTTTCAATTTTGTGGTCCGTTCTCAAGCATCAACTTCTGTGAAAACAAAACCAAATTGTAGTTTAGATTTCAATAATGCATTAGCAAATGAAAAATAAATCAGTGAGAAAACCTAGAATTGTAGAACATGCATAAATCAGTGAGAAAATATCCATACTCCATTCCAACAGAATTAAAATTCATGATTCCATTCCAACATAATTGGATTCGTGATTTCATACAAACGAATTAGAATTAGAATTCATGATTCCATTCCAACAGAATTAAAATTCATGATTCCATTCCAAAGGAAAAAGTATTTCCTTTTCACAATAGATGTTGTCACAAGATCAACCCCACTCACCCCTCTCTTCTACGTTTCCTCTTAATGAACCCCATGTTTCCTTTCATTCTACATGGATTCCAGTCAAGAAATACAAGAACAATCTTGTTCTTTCCCTTATGTACCCAGCAAACCAACAAAAAAAGAGGGCATTTCCCCCATTCGTGTTCTTCCTTCTCCCATTCCTGTGAAAACAACAAACTCAATCACCTCTACAAACACCCATCAATTTTCTGTCAAAAGCAAACCCAAAATATCTAATTTGTTCATTTCATATATTCATGATAAAACAAACAACATCCCAAAACACCATTTTTACCTATTTTGATTAATTGGAAAAGAGAGAGAGAGAGAGAGAGAGAGAGAGAGAGAGAGAGAGAGTGAGTGAAAAGAATATTCTTTTACCTGTTGATTATCGATGACCGCAACTAAACCACCAAACCGAATCGATTGCTGCCACTGTGAGCATTCGACCATGCCACCACCGGAGCCCCCTGTAACCACCTTCGTCCTTCCCCTGCTCCATTCGTGAACCCTTCTTCCTTCTTCGTGTGTTGATGACGATCAAACCAGCCAAGAAATGAACAAATTAGATATTTTGTCAACCAGCAAGTTTTGTGGCTTCAGATCTCTGATATTTTTTTCCAACAGTTATTAAACCAAACAAAAAAAAGAGGACAGGGGAATATGAGAGGTAGAGATTAAGGAAATGGATACCTGTGAAGAACATCGTGACCATGGCAGTGAGCAACACCTTTACACAACTGAAACAGAAAGCTCTGGATCTGAGAAGGAGGTAGATGAGAGGGATTAGGGCCCTTGCGATGAGAATCGATGAACTTCTTGAGATCGGTGTCCAGATACTCAAAGACGAGGTAGAGAAGGGGTTTGTCGTTATGGTGGATGTGTTGGACGCAGATGAGGCAGACGATATAGATGGAATTGGAGAGCATCTGGAGGAGAGAGATCTCGCGAAGGGCGGTGGGCGGGATGCCTTCCTCGTCCATCTCCAGACGGGTTTTCTTGAGGGCTACGAGTTGGCCGGTTTGTAGTCTATTCCAATTTTGCAGATCAGGCAAGATTTGGTTTTTAGATAAAGAGGGGAATGAGATTTAAACTGGAGAAATTAGGATAAAAGTGAATACCATGATTATAGGGATTATTTTGGAAGTTACTAAAAAAATAACTAAATTACCCTTATTTATTTATTTAATTTTGATTGACCCACATTTATGCATACAAGAACACAATAATTACTTTAAATACCTGAACCTATCTCTCTTTCTCTCTCCTCTCTCCTCTCTCTTCTCTCTCTTATCTATATATATATATATATAGATATAATATATATATATATTCTATAATATATATATATATATAATATATATTATATATATATAGGGAGGTTACTAGAGAACCTTAATAACAATGATTCAAGGAACCAATCGTAAGCGTCGAAAATCATAATAATCAACGGTCAAGAGAATGAATATGCATTTATACATTGGATGCACATACACTTGGATTATATCAGAAAACTCACCTTTTTTTTCGTTTAAATTTTTTTAGGTCATGTTTTTTAGTGAAAAAAAACCGAATATACTGTTGTTCACAATTTTTCGTCCTCTTTTCATAGAGATCCATGTTGATATATATTAAAAAAAACTTTCTTAGTTTTCTTGTTTTTTTTCAATATTTAAGTTCACTTTTATCCAAATAAAACTAACTATGCCAAAAATCTCAATTTTTTGTCATCTATTAATTAACACTGTTAATCTCAATTGTAATATTTCAATTTTAACATTAACAATGAGAATTGACTTATTACTTCAACTCTTTGATCATTCACAAATTAATTTAATGATATTTACATATGAATCAAAATATATTTTTTATTTACTTTTATAATATATTAACGTTTAGATTACTAATTAATTAGTTTTGTAAAATCAACAAATAGATTTATTTACATTATGAATCTGAACTGTATATAATTTAGTTTTCATAATTCACAATGAGAATCTGACTTACTGTTATTCACATTGTGAATAAGAGTAGATTCGCAATCTGAATCTGAGCAGATTCACAATGTGAATTTGAACTGTAAATTTGGTTTTTTTTTTCTACATCAATATGAATCTATGTTTAAAGAGAACAACAAAAATATGAATTTTGATATATTTATTAAAAAAATTTGATAAAAAATAGACCTTAACTTTACAAAAAACAAAAAATGAAGTGAGTTTTTTTGAAAAACAAAATTCATTTTTTGTATATCCATATCGATCTCAATGGAAATAGGATGAAATATCATGAACAATGGTATATTCGTTTTTTTTCTCGATAAAAAACATGGCCTAAAAAATTAAACGAAAAAAGAAAATGAGTTTTGTTATAATCTGGTGCATGTACGTCCATTGTAAAAGTCTACAACCCTTTATTTTGCCGTTGATAGTTTTAAATCCTGACGTTTTAGATTGGTTCTTTGGTTCTTTGATTAATAATGGTTCCTTATTGAACTTTTCCTCGTATATTATATATATATATATATATATATATATATATATATATATATATATATATATATATATATGGTCTGTTCAGATTCACAGTAAGTTAATCCATATTAAATCTCAATTCATAATGTGAATCCGAATAATATATAATTTATTTTTTAGCATTCAGAATGTGAAGTTATGTATTAATATATATATTATATATATATATATATCTATATATATATATATATATATGGCTTATTGTGAGAACTAAAAAAAGTGTTATATATATCTATAGATATATATATATATATATATATATATATATATATAAAGAAAATCATTTAAGTATATACATTTCTTAATATTCTTAAAAATGATTTCTATATAATTTTATAAAATCGTTTGATTATTTGAATAATAACAAATAAATTAATCTTAAAGATATAACCGATAATCAACATATTTTCAATAGATTTGTTTATGATAAGATAATTTAAATCTCAAATTTTTTTTCTTTCTCTTTCTATGAAATAGTTATATCACAGAAACATACTAGGTAAATTGACATGTTTGTGGTGTAAAAAAAAGGAACATGGTTGTGATTTGTTTTAGTTTAGACTTTGAACATCATTTTGTGTTATTAGCTCTTTAAATATATTTTAGTTTTTTTCTTTATATTGTATAAAATAAGAGAAATCAAATATCTTCATACTTTTTGTTTTTTTAGTTACTTTCTACTCATTAGATCAAGACAAGTGTTCAAATAAAAAAATAGATTAAGAGAAAGAATTGATGAATTTCACAATTATTTTATATATGTAGAAAGATAATTAAGAACAAAAGAATTTGAATTCTAGTTAATGGATGCCCTACAAAGGAGTTCTCGCCTCGGATAGGTCTTTGCCAAAGAAACCCGTTATCTCCCTTCCTTTTTATTTTGGGTATGGAAGGGTTAAATGTGGGATTAGAAGAAGTTGTATGTCATGGTATCTTTCGTGGAGCGGTGATTGGTGATGGAGGTCTTATGTTGTCCCACATTTTTTATGCGGATGATGCTTTATTTTCGGCAGAGTGGGATGAACAAAATATCAAAAATTTGGTGGCTATTCTTAATTGTTTTTATTTGGTTTTGGACCTGAAATTAAATCTTCATAAATCGAACTTTTACGGGATTGGTCTTCCTTTTCATCGTGTGGAGGAGATGGTTTGTATTACTGGGTGTGCTCCCGCTTGTATCCCTTTCTCATATCTTAGGTCACTGGTTGGTGCTAATATGAACTATGGTGTCAATTGGAATCCAGTGATTCAAAGGTTTCAAAAAATATTGGCAAACTGGAAGGTGAATATATTTTCAGTGGGAGGAAGGCTAAGTTAATAAAGTATATTCTTAATAGTATAGGTATCTACTATATGTCTTTCTTTAAGATGCCAGAATTTGTGAATTCTAAGCTTGAGTCTTTAAGTTCTCGACTTTTTTTTGGGATGGTAGTGAGACCGAATGAGAGATCCCTTGGGTGAAATGGCATTTGGTTCTAAAATCTAAGGAAAAAGACGGTTTAGGAATTATAAATTTAAAGGCTTTCAACTTGACTTTGCTTATAAAATGGATATGGCATTTTTATAATGAGGTGGATGCGCTTTGGGCCAAGGTGATTCAAAATATCCATGATATGCATGATGGTTTAGGGTCGTCTTCCTAGAAACCGAGGCGAGGGGGTGTGGTATAATCTTGTTAAAGCCTTTGATAATTTGGATGCTCTCAAAATAATTCCCCATTCTCTTTTTGTTAGACGTATTAGAAATGGAAAAAATACTAGGTTATAGAATGATGTTTGGGTTTGAAATGAAAAACTATCTTCTAGGTTTCCTAGACTTTTTGTGCTGGAACAAGTTAAAGATTGTTGGGTAGCAGATAGATGGACTGATACAAGTTGGGTTTGGAGTTAGAGTCGTCTACTTCATGATGTCGACGAAACGTCTTCACAACTTGTAGTCTTGATTAGAAAATTTCTCATGTTTCGTGTGTTAATAGGCTAGATAGCTGGGAGTGGAGTATTGATCTAGGGGAAGGCTTTACTATTAATAATACTTGAAGGTTTGTTGATTCAAAAGTTCGAGAGGAAGGGTGCTCAAGACAAGATGGTGCAAGCTGGTCCCAGTTAAACTTAATATTCATCTTTGAGGAACCATTTTGGATAGATTGCCTACTCGGAATAACCTGGTGGTTAGGGGTATCGATCTCAACTCTGGTGTAACATCCTTTTTGGGGAAGTTTCTTATTTTGGGATTGTAGGTAGTAAATGGACTGATTAAAGGCCTTGGGCTTCAATGGAATAGGGTTTAGACCTTATTGGATGTTGATAATGTTGGTTAAGTGATTATAGCCTTCGAATTCTGCTTTGAAGAAAAAGGGTAAAATGGGAAAAGTAAAATTCCATGTTTCTTTGATGGATTATGGTTTTAGCTCGACATGTATTAAATCAAAAGCAATTAGATAGGGTTGTGGGGCTCATCAATACATTTCGGTGTATATAAAGATCACCGAAACCGGAGTAGAAAGGAAGAAGTTATAATTATTTGAAGTTATAATGGAATTGGGTTAAAACCTGTTCTCACGAGGTGAGAAGTATATTCTCATGATGTGAGGAGTCTGTTCTCACGAGTTGAGAAGTATATTCTCATGACGTGAGAACTTTGCAGCTCCAGCCCACACATTTTTAGGGTTTTCAAGGTATTTAAAGGTAAGGATTCATGTTTTAAGGTATTTTCTTAGCCTCTATTATATATAGAACCCATTGGGAGAACCCTAGCCTCCATTTTCAAGATTTGAGTCTCCCCTCTCCTCTCTCATCCATTTTTGGAGTTTCTAGTGGCTTTGGAACAATGTTTTCATGCAATATTGATCCTTGAAGCTTGGCAATTGAAGATCTCAACCTTCATCTACCTTCATCTACCTTCTAGACCTTTTTAAGTTATAGTTCCAAGCTTTATTCCTTTTCATCTTTGGATCTAAGTGTATTTGGTGTTTTGGTCATTTTTAACGAGTTTTGAGTGAGAGTTGAGAATAAAGTTTGAAACTTTATTACTTTCCTAGGTCCCAAGAACATTTTAAGTTTCAGATCTGGACTCCAACACCTTTTGATCAGTTTAGAATGTTTTCCTGGACCTCATGGACTAGGAAAGCTTTGCTCTTTTGCCTTACCTTTCAGCCATACAAGTTATCTTGGTCATTTGGGCCATTTTGGTGTATTAAAGTTTAGATCTTGAAAACATGAGACATTATTATGGATAAAGTTGGAAAATTTATCCATCTAAACATCATGTTGATTCAGATCTGAAGGTTGGTGATTGGACTTACTGGATTTAGCCGAGAAAGATGCGTTCTTGGTCCATTTGAGACTTAAAGACTAGATATTGGTTGTTTGGACCATCATAATGGATAAAGTTGGAAACTTTATCCATTATGAAGCTATTTGGGAACTTGGTATGAGGTTATGGGCTTTGGT